ATCCAGGGGCAGGGCCACACATGCGCCCGAGGGTGGGGCCACACATATGCTGCATGCCCAGAGCTGGCGCCGCCCATGCACCGCATTCCCGGGGCTGGCACCGCAACTGTGCTGCACGCCCAGGGTGGGGCTGCCCATACGCTGTGCGCCCAGAGCCAGAACATCCCACGTCCCGTGTGCCCGGGGGCGGAGCCGCCACTGCCCATGCGCTGCATGCCCGGAGCCGGCACCTGTGCCATGTGCCCAGGAGCTGGCAGCGCCCATGTGCCGCGCGCCTGGGGGCGGGGCCGGCCCCGATCACTTGGCGGGCGGACAGAAATGGCCCAGCGGGCAGCATGATGCCCACGGGCACCGCGTTGGGGACCACTGTCCTAAACCTTTTAGTAAGGAGCACTGTCCTATATCCCATAGAAGTCAAGTCAGCGGAACAGCAAAGTGTGCGTACAGTGGGACAGAATTCAGCCTTTTATATTTTGTTTCAATTTGTTGGTAGTTATAATTACACATTTCATACCAAATTTTCCCTTTGTTTACATTATGGCAACCTGACTGCAGTCAATGGGCAGTATCTATCTTCTTTTTATTATTATTTTTTCTCATACTAGCCACAATCTTTGAAGGTAAATTTAGCCAATTCTTTTTATATATAAAGTAAAACTTTCCTTTTTAAATCTCTCACATTCAAAAATGGAGCCATTCTAATTTTGAATAACCTTCCTTTGATTTAAACATTATTTAACCTTTGGTTTACAAGGCCACCTGTACAAGTCATGCGATTTCCTGCTCTAGTATCTGCAGAGCCTTCAAGGGATATTTTCAAGACTACAAATTGGACTGAACTTTTTTTATGCTTAGAAAAATGAAGTCTCAGCTACATTAAAGGACCTGAGTGATGGAAACTGGAATCCTCTCCCTTTATGAGGCACAGTTACAGATGTTCATGCTGAGATTTCCTAGTGACCTTACGCATGACCGGCAGAGACCAACCCCTCAAAGGTTACAGGTCATTGCCCTTTATTCTTCTTGAATCCTTGGAACTCTCCTGAGTACAACCAATTACATGAGGTGGCTGTGAAAGGTGAAGCATGGTCTCATTCCCCCTCAGAACAGATTGCTGCATTTTAAATGGCTCCATTAGCTGGGAGTGGGACTTTTGCAGCCCTGGCCACATGTAACCCCCCTCGTTGCTCTTCAGGAAATACACCCGGGGCAGGTCCAAAGTTCAGAAGCATCTGGACAATTGGCCTTCTTCATTCATGCCTTTCATATTGTAGAGGCAGCTCTAACAGACATACTGAACTAGACCTTTTCAGGTTAAGGGTCAGAGTGGGGATGTGTGGAAGGGAATAGGCTCCTCTCTCTCCATACTAAAAGAGAAATTCCATTTACCCTGAGAGCATACCAGATCCATTCCTTATTACCTTGACTGTTCTCACATTTGGGCTGACAAGATGCTATGGGCCTGATTGTGACTTCATTTGCATCCGGTTTACATTGGTGTTAACCCCATTGACTGCCATACAGTTTACTCTGGATTTACACTGGTGTGACAGTTGAATCTTGCCTTAAATATAGATTCATCTAATAAAGAAACAAAACACTTCTCAACATATAGAAGATGAGGTCGCTACCAGCCTTTCACTTTCAGTAAGAAATATAATGCTGCCTACTACAAAGGAACAATGGGACACATTCTCTTTCACCTAAGAAGACAAAGGCACCATCACTTTTGGGCCTCTGGGAGAGTTTCTGACCTTCCAATCAGTCATCATCTTGCTTGAAGACTCTGGTGAGAAAAGCCGTCTTAACCAAAGCTTTAGAGCCAAAATTTACTAGACTAATCTTTAAACGTTCAGGTTTGTTTTTACTTGTATTGGCTTGTAACCATTTGTCACTTTCTCTCACATACCTGAATTTTCATTTAAAGTCCAACTTGCTTTGTTTTTAATCTAAACCAATCCAGTGCTGTGTGCTTAGCTGTTTATAACTCCTGTTAAAGCAACAAACTGTTGAATACTGATGCTTTAACGAAAGGGGTCTCAAACGCTTGGGCTGCACCCCGGCGGGGGGAGGGAGGGACCTTTTACCTTTACCGAAGCCCCGTCCCTTTCCTGCCACTGCCACGCCCTCTTGCACCATGACACCCCATCCAAGCCCCACCCTTTCCCACCATCATCTCATCCTCTCCTCCCATAGCACTCCATCCCCCGAGCACACAGCTTTGGGGATCACTGGAGGGTACAGCAGCAACAGTCACACACACACACACACACACACACACACACACACACACACACACAGCCCACAGATCCTACAACCACAGGGAAGCAGGGCGAAGTGGAGTGAAAGCATCTGCTCCATGGATTCCTTCTGCTGCCACAGATGGAGCGAGGGTGCGCGATTGCCGGCCCAAAGCCCCTGATGGTCCCCAAAGCCATGTGCTCAGTGGATGGGGTGCAATGGAGGTAGGGAGCAAGGCAATGGTGGAAAGGGGTAGGGTTTGGGCCCAATAACAGACAGGGCTCCTCCAGCCCATCAGGAGTCTTGAGCCATATTGTACAATCACTCTGGCTGGATTTTGAGACTCCTGCTTCACAGAGACATCAAACCTTAATATCTGAACTGTCCAGGAGAGGGCTGAGCATCCCTGCAAATAGTAACCAAAGTTGTTGGAAGCCACAGCATGGACTGGCATGTGACTGGCAAGCTGATGTGGTCAAAGCTGCAGCTTTACACATTCAGAGTATGACCTGCTTGCTGGAAGGCTGTTTGTGAGCAGCCCAGGCTGGGAGATAGAGCAGCAAAACACTCACTAAGAGACATCCCGAGTTGCAGGGCAGAGGGTGACAAACCCTCCGTTGTCTGGGTTGCACCCGAGAACATCACAATTTGCTCGTAAAAAATCTCAGTTCAGATGAGGTTCTTCTAAGAAAATTAGAATAGGTTTATTTGGATCTCCTGTCCCCTGCATCCTAAACTCAAGGGTCTTTATACACAAGAGAGAACTACAGAACCATTTCAATCACAGAAATGTTGCATTAATTTGTGTCTTATTAGAAAGTCACAAAGGTAGCTCTCCAGGGAAGTTGCTAATAATTTTCATTGCTTACTTTTTTCCCCAGCCTTTCTTTTTATCTTTTCAGGCATCAGTAATGAATTCCCCTTTGATTTTTCCATTCATAGTCTTAAGAAAGACACCTGCTGAGAGCGTCGGCCATAACATTTTGTTTGCCTGAAAAAACATTGCTGAAATTCCTATGCAATATTTTATGCACCAGTTCTATAACCTTATTACTTTGTTGTAGAGGCCAGGGAATCTCGCTTCTCCCTGCTGGATGACACAGAACATTCGGGCCCTGTTGTCCATCATGATTCAGATATATCTGTTACTGAAGAGAGGCAAAAAATGAAGGCAGGCATTTCAGACTGTTCTAAGCACCAACAGGTTGGTATGGAGGCTTCTTGAGGTGATCATCTGTCCCATACTATGAGGTCATCTGCTCTACATAGTGAGATCATCAACGTATGCCCCCCTGTCCTAACAGAGATGCACCCATTGTTACAGTTACTGCTGGCATCAGTTGGAAGACGGGAACACCTCCTCCAGCATCGCGATGACCCTTCCACCACTGTAGGGAGCGCTTCACCAGCTGGGGAACAGACACGTAGTTGTTTAGACTGTGTCTGTTTGGCAAGTAAACTGATCAGAGCCATCCCCAGAAACACACCAAAAAAGGTGCAAGCTGCCACATGATTGACAAGTTGAAGACAGTTACTGACTGAAGTCTAGGGGCTCCCTGGAATAGTTCTTACAAGGTTTGATGGTGTCCTGGATCTGTCCTAGGGAAGGAAAGCCCTGGATGCCAAGGAATCCAGGGGTGCTCCTATAAGTTATATGTTCTGAGTAGCAGGCAGTGTGGATTTTTCCACATTCCGCTGATGACCCAAGTCCAAGCACAGAGAAAGCGTTATCCTTGAGTGGATAGCACCTCTTGATATGACCAACGCTTGAATAGCCCAGTATCAAGGCACGGGAATGCTATGCTTGCATGATGACATGGGTAGGCAGCCAGTACCTATAGAACCCTTGGAGAAAACTCTCAGACCTATGAGGAGACTGAACAGGAGCACCTAATATTGATCCTGGCCTATGATGAAATGCAGTGACTTCATAGGAGACGCACATATTGCTATATGGAAGTGCACATCTTGAAAGTCAAGGGCAAAAGTGAATCCCATGAACCTAGAGAAGGATTACAACTTCCAGAATCACGATCCTTAACTGAGGCCTCATGAATTTGTTCAGAAACCTCAGATTTAAAATTGGCCTCTATTCTCCATTTTTCTTTGATATGAGGAAATACAAAGAGAAACTCCTTCGCTCTGTTCTGAACAGGGAAGTTCTATTAGTCCTGACAAAAAAAAAGGGGGGGGGGGAGGTTATGTCCTGTCTTAGCAAAAACTCATGAGAGGGGTCCTCAAGGAGCGATCAGAAAAGGGAATGAGGAATAGGGAAGGAAATAAATTGGAGTTGCCTGATAATGTTTCAAACATTAGTCTGAAATGATATGCTCCCATGCTTGTTGGAAATGGGGAAAATAAGTCTACAGATGTTGGGAGAGGAGGAGGAGGTAGGCAAAATGTTAAAGCTGACAAGCTGCTGTGAGTGCAGGAGGAGGGAGTTGGAATCCTCAACCATGTCATCAACTGACACTTTGATGATGAATCCTGCTGTGAAGTCACATTGGGTGTGTTAGAAGGGCTCTTTCTCTGGAACCTGTCTCCCTTTCTAGAAAGCTCCATCAGTCTCTGAAATCCAAAAGGATTGTGTGGGCAGGCTCTTTGAGCTATCTGTGATCTATGCAAACGGAAATTTAGAAATGGCTTATAAGCATAATGTGGCCCTGGACTAGAGTCCTTAATTCAGTGGTCATCAACCAGTAGCTCGGGATCTACCAGTAGCTCTTGGAGCCTCTGACAGGTGATCCTGACTGGTTTAGGTGGGAAGCTATTCAGTGCCTGCAGTTCAGATGTCCCTCCGCCCACTGTCATGATGCTCCTGCCTTGAAGCTGCTCCACTGGGAGCCTCCTGCTTGCTCTGCAGGGTGAGGAAGGGAGAAGGGTGGGGAGTGTTGATGTCCGGGTGTTCCTCCTCTCCCCGCTTCTATACCCCATCTCCACAGTGAGAAGGAGATGGAGGGAGCTTGGCAATGCAAACCTCTCACACACTGTGCGCGTGTCTGTCGTTCTCACAAACACACACTGCCCTTCACTCTCATCTCTTGACAACACATACGTGGGGGCTTGTTACTACTTTTACTACTTGCAAAGTGGGCTTTTTTAATGTTTATTTTTGACTGGTCTGTGCATTTCATAATTTTCATTTCTCTCTTATGCTTAAATTTAATTTTTTGAGGCGTCAGTTCTAAAATGCCTAACCTGTCATGGCTGGAGTAATTATCCCTGTGGTAACTGCTGCTCCTGGAAGTGACCAGCATGTCCCTGCAGCCCCTGGGAAAGGTAGAGCAGGGAGTCTCCACATGCTGTCCTTGCCTGCAGACACCACTCCTGCAGCTCCCATTGATCAGTAACTGGGAACCATGGCCAGTAGAAGCTGTGGGCTCAGTGCCTGTAGATGAGGGGCAGCACATGGCACCATGGAGCCATTGCTGTACATGCCTGCTGCTTTCAAGGGTGGTGCAGGGCCAGGGCAGGAGGAAACTTGCCTTAACTCCACTGCTCAACCACCTGGAAGCTGTCTCCGTTAAACAGTGCCCAGCCAGACAGAGCCTGCTTCCTTCAGCTTGCACCCTGAAACCCCTCCTGAATCCAATCGCCCAGCCTGGTGAAAGTGAGTGAGGATGGGAGATGGGAGAGAAGGGGGATGGGAGTGAGCAGGATGAGGCCTCAGGAAGGGGTGGATCAGGGGCAGGGCCTCAAAGAATGGGTGGGAAGGAAGTGGGGCAAGAGTTTAAAGTTTGAGGTAGATCTTACATTCAACTTAAATTGAAGAAGTGATCCAACAAAGGTTGGAGACCACTTTCTTAATGTATGCAATTACTGATTAGTATTCTCTGTGTACAGCTTCGGTCCATCAAACAGGAGATCCTCTGCTATATTCTGGACATCTCTGGGGAAAACCGGACAACTATAACTATTACCACTGCTGTAAAGCCGCAAATCTCTGTGGTATCTGCAGAATCAAGAGCTTAAATGCTTTGCTGAATTGAAGCCAAATTGTATACTCTATGATGATGTCTCTGAAAACAATGTCCGGTAAGTGACATTAGGTTCTGGAAATCAACATACTGCCAGCAGATACAGTAAAGTCAGTTATTTATGAGGTATATAGAGTTAAGTCAGTCATATAGGTCTTACTCCTTACCTTAAACTCTAGCTAATTTTTCCTTCCTGTTACTCCTACTTAGCTTCTTCCAATCCATACTTTTGCCCAGCTATAGCAAGTAATCAGTGCTGGGACTTTGTCTCTTATTCTAAAGGGAGATAACACATCCGGACAAGTTTCCTAAGCTATGGAACAGGGGAGGAAATCAAGAGCCAAAATCCTCACTAATTGTGGTTTCATGGCTTTCACAAAATTAGAGGATTATCTCACTGCTCTCGGAGCCCCTGGATTTCTTTTTCACATCACAACTGAGTCATGGGGCTCTCATACTCATGGGATAAGCCTCCTTAGCTCTTTTCAATCCATGGGATACCCTTTACCTCTCACTTCCCTTGGTCAGTGTAGTATGATGAAGGGAAGAGTAAAGATTCTAGGATCATTAAGCCATGCAGAAAAATGCCATGTGACATCAAATCACACCAGAGTAATTGTAAAAAAATTACGAGCATGGAATTCTAACTTTCCCATCATGATGGAATGAGTCAGTATATAATGAGAGCATTAGTTTGTTAAAAAAAAAGATATAATTAGCCAGTTACTGTAATACACAAGCTTGACTGATCATTTCATGGAAAGAAGGTCAGCTGATGACTTATGACTTCACTAACGTCACTCTGTATCTAATTATCAATGATTTGATGTAAAAAAGCCATTTGTCAATTCAGAGGAAAGATGTTTCAAACATAAATAAGTGGAGGATGGGGATGGCAGGAGCTAGGATTAGATTAGGAAATTTTGTTTCAATGCTAATCATCTTGTTCTTCCGGGTTGACCAAGGAACAATTGGTCACTTTATGAAATCAAATTTCTGGTTTGCATGTTCTTTAGACAATGATCCCAGTATAGATTTACATTAGTTTGCTAGCATCCAAACCACAAACTGAACCAACCCACGGGGCATTTGCCCAGCACATTTAGCCATTTGTTAGTAGGGGGCTAACAAAGGTCTCTAATTCTTCCAAGAGAGCAATTCCACTCAAACACAGAAGTGAGGCCTTTCAAATAACATGGGAACTGCATTGGTTTAAACATGAGTTGTACAAAATGTCTAATCCAAAACCCTCTGAGTAAGGGGACAATTGTCTACTGTCTTATGTACCCCCAGCAAGGTTCCCCACCTGATAGACCTGAGTCACAGTTCATGGGAGAAAGGAGTCACCATTCTTCTGTGTAATCACTACTCCTCCATGAAAGCAGCTAGACTCAAGATACCTGGATTCTACCCCCATTTGTGCTATCTGACTACGGACAAATCACTTCATCTGTGTCTGTTTCTCCTCCCACCTTTTGTCTCTCATCTGTTCAGAGAGTAAGATCTTTGGGGAAGGAATCATCTCTTGCTCTGAGATATGATCTATCTAAACCACACTATTTGAACTATGTTAGTAGCATAACTGAAGATCTACTTACTGCAGAGTCCACACTGCGCTGGATTGACGGGAAACCCTCTCCCATTACCATCTTCTTCTGGTGGACTACCGGAATCAACTGGAGAGTGATCAGTAGTCAGTTTAGTGGGTCTTCACTAGACTTGCTAAATCAAACCCCAGTGGATCGATATCCACAGCATTGATCCCGACTGTAGTGGAGATAAGCCCTGAGTTTATACAGCACCCAATAAAATAGAGCCTACAGGTTTTACTGTAATACAAATAATAAGGACCAGATTATCTGGTGCTGTATCACTGATTGATTTTGGCCATACAGCCAATCTACTGGAGTCCTCAATGTAAGGGTACAAACAAAAAGCTGGGTTAACAAGTTTCTAGGCTACCACCTTTCCTTACTGCTGGTAGAGAGGCTACACTCAGGGCACCCCTATCCGATATTCAGAATAGCACTTTGCTAATCATTCTGTAAGAACCGTGATACCTTGAGAAGTGCTATGAAGGTGTATATATACTTCTCTTTTCTCCTTAGCTTGCTATGTTCATGCTTTGACAAGGCAGCGCTACACCTCTGTAAGACTGTGTATAATTTACACTAAACACCTGTTAATCTGCAAATTGAATTAAAGGTATGATTTTGATACCTCCTGTTATAGGCTTTAGATGCAATTAAATTAGCCTAGCTCTGTCCTAATGATCATTAACACATCAACCTTTTTCTGCTGTACGTGTTTGTTACCAGCACCAAGTTAAAAGGAAAGAAATTAGACAGCAGAGACTTGAAAGACCTGAAATAAACCCCCACACCTGAATACCCCCCACAGTGTGTTTTGATCTAGGTTTGAACTTTATATCTTATGCCAAACTCTAATCATTACCAATATCTTGCAAGAAGCCTGTGCCTGAAAGAGTTAGTGTTTTACAAGGCAGCCGTGACCAAAATCAACCCCAAACAAATCATTCATCACTGCAAATCTCCAGAACTAACTTGTACTTTCATCAAGAAAAGTACGGTTATAAACACACATCATAGATGAAGAGGAAACACAAAGTATGTACTGTAAGCTTTCATGAATCGTACACAAACAAAGCCTTTGATAGCTCTCTGAATACACACTGTATCATTATGCCCAGGGCTAGCAGGCTCTCTGTAGTCTATTCTAGGCTCTTGGTTTCTAAAGGGTGTCTCTCTCCCCCCCATATTACATTACCACAACTCAAATCTTCCCACTGGCTCGCTGTGCCTTTCATTATCAAGTCAAAACTCCTTATCCTCAACCTCAAGGAACTGAATACATGGTGCTCACCCTGCCTACCAGTCCGCATCTTTCTTACTACAGCCCTGTAGCCCTGTCTGTGCCTTTTTGCTCACCACCACCAATAGAATAGCTTCCCTTCTCCAGTACGTCACCTCACATTCCTTTAAATCTCACAAATTCTTCTGTCTTGTCTCTCTCACTAACCCCTGCTCTCTCTGCCCCACCCTGTTCATTCAATAACTGTCAAATTATTTTTTTAAAATCTAGAACAGTGCAATACATGTGCCAGTCTAAATAACGTAATCTGGTTCTAGGAACCTGCATGAAGAAGAAGAATTCTTCTGCCGACTCAAGCTGGCAACCAGACTAGAGAGGGCCTATTAGGTCCAACTTCAGGTTAGAAAAACTTTGAGAACTCTCTCCAAAGCATAGAGCAACCACCAGAAATTGCCAAATTCAAAAAAATAAGCTCTGATAGTCCACTTATGTTTGTTGCTATTGTTGAAATTAACACAAAGGGAAACCCAAAGAAGGGTTCGTTTGGCCCCTACTCGGTCTATTAGAAGGGCCAGATCTGCTTAAGTGCCTTTCTCCCATTGCTTTTTCTGTAGGTTTGGATTGTCAAGTATTTGGGGAAGAGACCTTCTCTTGTGTCTGCCTTTAAAGATACTGCAGTTGTAAAGACATAGCAAAAGTAGGTAATAATAAATACCCCAAAGGCAAATACTCCCAGGCTGTGTCTACATTGGCATCCCTTTCCGGAAAAGGGATGCTAATGAGACACTTCGGAATTGCAAATCCGCGGGGGATTTAAATATCCCCCACGGCATTTGCATTTACATGGCTGCCGCTTTTTTCCGGCTTGGGGGTAAGCCGGAGAAAAGCGCCAGTCTAGACGTGATTCTCCGGAAAATAAGCCCTTTTCCGGAGGATTTCTTATTCCTACTTTCAAGACTGGCGCATCTAGACTGGCGCTTTTCTCCGGCTTACCCCCAAGCCGGAAAAAAGCGGCAGTCATGTAAATGCCGCGGGGGATATTTAAATCCCCCGCGGATTTGCAATTCCGACTCGTAACATTAGCATCCCTTTTCCGGAAAGGGATGCCAATGGAGACTTAGCCCCAAGGTTTAGATTGAACAGCCTTTTTTGGTAGGCTAGCTAAAACAGTTGGTCCATAATGTAGCTTTACACTTATGGAGACTTTACTTAAGGATTTAGGGTTGCCAGGTGTCCGGTATTGACCCAGACAGTCCAGTATTTTCACCTCCTGTCTGGTAAAAAAAAAAAAAAAAAATCAGAAAATACTGGACATCTAAAATGTCCAGTATTTTCTGATTTTTTTCCCATGCCAGGAGGCAAAAATACCACAGACCTGGCAACCCTACCCCAAAGGTCTTAAAGGGGCCATGCTTGTTTTCTTGCTTAATAACTGTCAGGGTTCTTTTTTTTGCTCAACAACTTTGGTCTCCTCCACCCTTTTTTTCCCTCAACAGTGGGTTTTGTTTTGTTTTTGGCAGGGGGGGGGGAGAGGGACGGGGGAGTGTTTGGCATTTTTGGTTAAACCATCTGGAACCTTATAAGGATTTGGCCTAGCTTTTAAGTCAGTGGTGGGCAATCTGCGGCCCAAGTGCCATATGCAGCCCATCAGGGTTCTATGTGTGGTTCACGAGACATTTTGTTTACCACTGTCCATGCACAGGGATTGCAAGATTCCACTGGTTTCTGTCTACATCGTTTTTTCCCCTACAGCATTACAGCTATGGTTCAGTCAGCCCACGCTGCAAATTGCAGGTACACAAGCACAGTTAGCAACACTAGCCTATCCCAGGAGACCCCCTGAGCTATGACAACCTTGCAGCCCACTGAAACGAAGGAGGGCCACTCATGCAGCCCATTCACTAGGTGGTTTCATTTTAGGGTTAATTTGTGTAGCACACAATGGATCACATTAGGTGTGATCCACTCAGGAGACCCAGGCTTACTAGCATGAGCAGAAATTCTACAATGCTCATCTATCTAGCCTATGTCTTTTATGCAAAATTTTACACAGATTAAGCCCATCCTGTCTTGGAGTGAATCTAAATATATTTTTCTCCCTCACCTCTCCTGAAAAGAAGTTTCAATTCATTGAGAGGAAATGTGCCCTCCACCCAAAACTGGGTAGCAGAGGGAGTTATGTGGGAACATGCCTTAAGACTAAATATGACCAAGAACTGGGATTTCCATTCTGTGAGAAAATTCCAATATTTTAAAAAAATGCTCTAATTTGGAATGAAAACACAAATTTAAAAAATATCCCACCAAACAACATTTTTATTCGGGACCATCAAAATATTTCACTTCCATTGAGTGTTGTCTCAATTCATTTCATTTGACACGTATAAAGGTCAAAATTAAATTAATCAATACAATATCAATATAAAATGCTTTTCAACTTCCCGCCCCCCACGCACCAGCAATGTGTTTTCTAAGGGTACGTCTACATTTGCTCCCTAGTTCGAACTAGGGATGCAAATGTAGGCAACCGAAATTGCCAATGAAGTGGGGATTTAAATATCCCGCGCTTCATTAGCAAGATCTCGCCCGGAGTACTAGTCGAATTCGAACCAGGAAGTGCACGCCGGGACGCGGTAGTTCGAACTAAAGCCCTGGGTTCGAATTAACATTATTCCATTTTTTGAGGAGGTTCGAATTACCGCGTCCCGGCACGCACTTCCTGGTTTGAATTAGCTGTGATTCAGACTAGCGCGCTGGGCAAGATCATACTAATGAAGTGCAGAATATTTAAATCCCCGCTTCATTAGCAATTTCGGTTGCCTACATTTGCATCCCTAGTCCGAACTAGGAAGCAAATGTAGACTTACCCTAACAGACGCTACCACAGAAATGTTTTGATTTTGATGGAACTTTTTAAACTCTTTCATGGGAAATTTCTTGACCAACTCTACTTTAGACCCGGGTTCAGAAGTGAAGGTCCAAGAGAGAATAAGAACATGGAATTACTGAACTAGGAGGTGTCCTCCAACCAAAAACCTCGAGAATAATGGCACAAACTCTCAGGCTTAAACTAAAAATGGAAGTTCGAACTCCTAAAGACTCAGATTTTAGTGTCTTCTTTAATGTGGCCCAATGGTTTCATTTTTATAGGTACATGAACAGATTTACATAGATAATGAATAATGAAATTTCCGTACAGTCGCTTAAAACTTTATTATGGCACTTTCTTGATAACACTGTTGTTCTGCCTCATTTTTATAAAAATATTAGGACTTTGGAATTCTTAAAGAGAACCAATCATATCCTCACAGCTGTGATGTTTTCCTACACCTCGTGAATGACAACATGGCAATCAATGAATAGTAGAAAAGTACTGATTATGGTAGTATCCTGTAAGGTGTATGTTCATCAACTGGATAAATCCTGAGATCCTCCTTGCTCAGGCAAATTCCCATTGACATCAACAAGTGTTTTCCATGTAAGGAATGAGTATAAACTCAAAATGAAATTCACATCTATACCAAGGTCCCATGCAAAGCTTTCACCCCATTTATGACCCAGCTGAGCACTTATGGTGCACATACACCTTGTGCTGATGCTCTAGACAGGCAAGATTTTTATTCTGAGTGTGAACCTCAGGATTTGTCTCAAATCCAATATGGATGTATTAGTTTCTTACTTGTATGCCTAACACTGAATAGAAGGAACTTGTGGGAATATATTTTTGCCCCTGATCTAATCACCCTATTCCTTGTTTATTGAAGTTAAACAGAAAGAAAAGAAGCAAACAAATTCCCTCTGTTTTTCCCCCTCCCTCTTTTTTCTTTTGTTGACAAAAAAAAAAATCTTTTGTCTGAAGACTGGGAATGGAACAAAATTACCACCTGGAATTTGAATTCAGCCCATTACACAATCGTGGGTCAGCAGTTAAATAGAGTCTAGACCCACAGCTAGAAAAGCCCCAGGGATTAGTTTCTGGATCTGGCCCATTTCTACTCTAGGCTGATGACTTTTAGCCTGTGAGCATGCAATAAGTTATTAAAGCAGGGAACTTTTGAATTCCCACTTATTTTACATGCTTGATTCATTCTGTGAAAATAGGAGAAACCTTTCTCTCTCTCCGCTTTAGACCTACTCCACACTGTTTCTCAGGACTGTGCTTCTGAAGCAATCACAGGTCATTTTATTCCCATTGTTCTCAATAGGAGCAAAGCAGTGCTGCCCTTCATTCCCTGTATCCTACTCAGGGCTCCGGGTTTAGGCAAAAACTGGAAATCATTTTCCACTGGAAGGTTGAATAACACTCTCGGAAGTGCTATAACTAGGGTATTTCTTTGTGTGTGAAATTATTTTGAGAGCACAGAATGGCATGTCTTATGAGCCAGGATTTCCCCTTTTTGGAGAGGTGGCATATTAGTAGGAAAAATAAGGTCAATTTTCAAAGCACTCAACTGTTTCTGGCAGGTTGTCTAGACTATCTGACTAAAGCTAATTTACAATGCGGAGATGCCCAAACCAGGAGCCATTAAGTCTTCAGATATAACTTGGAAAGAGAAAATGTAGTTGCCTGAAGTAAAACAGCTGGTAAAATAATGCTTTTTATCCCAAGTAGACTTTTGTCTGGTTCTGTTAGTTATTGCATAGTCAGGCTCTTTCAGTATTAGGTGCATAAAAAAATATTTAATACAAGGAAATATTCTCAGGAAAGTGGCTAGAGCAATTTTTTTCACTTTACCTTCCAGCCAGGAAAATTAGGCTGATTGTCAGGAAGACTGATATGGTCTGCTAGCTAGAATATCCTGCCGGAAAAAGTGCACTTTACTGACCAATTAATATTTTATATATAAATAAAAAGATTGGAGATACATTTAAAGCGATTCTGATTATGTGAGATAATGTGTAACACAACATATTCAACAGATTATCATCGGTTTTCTGTTATAGAAAATACACAGTTACAATGCAACATTCTCACATTTATTCACCAATCAGAATTACTCCTGAAATTCATCCCAAAATTATCCTACTGAAGCAAATAACTTAAAACAGTCAGAGGCAAATATTCAAACTTTTGAAATCCATGTTCTTTGATAAGTAAATAGCACAGGCTGGTGATTCTGTTCCCTGATTAACATACCTACTAACCAATACTGTCTGAATGTTATAGTTTTTGAAGATGACAAGTGAATACAGAATTTAAAATTCACAATTCTCAATGACTGATCCACCAGTGCCCAGATTTGTTAGTCCCCTGGGCTCACTGCAAAACCCATCTTTATTCTCTTTTGCAAGTCTGTGGAGAAGAGGCTGCGCTGAGGCGGACAGATCATCATGCAGTTCTTCTCAATTACGTTGTGATTGCAACTTCTTGGGTAGCTATTTAGACTACAAGATCAGCATCAAGGGTCACATTTTCAACAATGGTGGAGCCAAGTTTCGCAACCAGAGAGCAATGGACCATTGGTGATGGACTGGAAAGTGAACCCACCAGACACATACTTACAGAGAGGGCACCTTTTTTGCAGGCGTAGGCCTGGCATTGCAACCTGGCACGCAGAGTCAAAGTTCCATTCAGGTTTGCCCCAGCACTCCTCTGGACAGACAGAGGTCAGGCCAAATGTCAGAGAGTACAGTACACCAATGTTGCAGTACACCAATGAGAAGGGAGCTGGGCTCAGCCCCACTAGGCAGGAGCCACCAATGCCAGGTACGTACTGGGCAAACTCACTCTCTTGCCCCATGTGAAAATGCATCTCCTTTGGCTGAATGCTTGAAAAGGTGCCACACACGTACCTTATTAGCTCTGCCACTGATTTTAGACATTTGAAGAAATAAAATCAAATATTTGAGCTTTCAGTGCAATGGACTGACACTAGCCACAGGGCCACCTGTGATGCACCTGGTAGCATCAGATCAGTAAGAGGGATGTGACAGTGTAAACATGGAAATAGTCAACTGATGAGTCTGGGCTCATCATTTAACCTTCATGATTACATGCAGCCCCCGCCCCCACCCATTTAAGCTTGAAGAAATAAAATCAAATATTTGAGCTTTCAGTGCAATGGACTGACACTAGCCACAGGGCCACCTGTGATGCACCTGGTAGCATCAGATCAGTAAGAGGGATGTGACAGTGTAAACATGGAAATAGTCAACTGATGAGTCTGGGCTCATCATTTAACCTTCATGATTACATGCAGCCCCCGCCCCCACCCATTTAAGCACACTCCCCGTGAGCTACAGCTCCCAAGGAAATATATACCTGCAGAAAATTTCAGAGGGTACATGTTTACCAAAACAAACACATTTTAATATCCCTAAACAGTAATAATTCTGTGGCACTCTTAGACACCTGGAATAAAGTTGTACAGTGTGGTCCTGGACAGAGGTCCATAAGTGCACTACTGTTGTTGTTGATGATACTAAAACTCGACCATCCAAATACTCATAGAGAATGAAGCAAAGCATTGTGAACACAGTCAAATTGAAATTACTTTTGAAATTCAAACTATAATTCACAATTTTTTTATCCACTCTTTGCTCCGGTCTAGGTTTTTCTTGGATCAGACTGCATATTCCATCTCACATACTGACGTCTCCAGATGTGATTCAGGAAAACTGAGAAGTCACATATATTTTCCAGTTAAAATAATTTTAAATATACTCTTATTTTTGATTACAGGCCTTTTCCTTCGGCAATAAAACTGATGTCTCAATGCTCCTTGTTCACTTATTTTTTATTACTACTAGAATAGTAATTACTCTCATAGCTGATAAGTCTCAAATAGTAACAGATGAATTTACCCAGCAAATATTTATTGAGTACAGGACCAGATTTTCAGACATATTTAGGTGCCTTACCAAAGTGAGGAGTTAGGCATCTCATGGGATTTTCAAAAGCACGCAAGCAGGTTTGGTTTCCAGCTGCATCTTCAGTTGCTGCAGAAAATCTGGCTCGCACTGCTTAATACCATGCATGCTCATTAGGAATACCCACATTTGTAAAGCAAAAGTACATTTTTGCAGGATCAGCCCCACAGTGAGAAGCTGGGAAGGAGACATTGATATGATTGAGATTAATAAAGTGTTTAAATAGTCATTGTTAGCCACTTACCTGGTATGGATACAGGGTGACTCCATTTGTTCTCGACAAGGACCAGGTGCCATCGAGGTACTGATGAGCCTGGATAGCTACAGAGTTCAGGATGTTGCCATTGCTGGGGCTGGTAGCCATTTGTAGGCTGACCTTGGCCTGGTGGCCGGGGGAACCATTTTTCTTCTCCACCCCATTTATGATCCCCAGGCTGTTGGGCTTCCCACTGTGCTTGTTGGCCACAAAGCCTGTGTAATTAGCAGGAGTGTAGGAAGTGGGCATGTATGCCCAGTCTCTGGGCTGCAGGCTGCCCATATGTCGGGAGCCCACTAAGGTGGGAATATTGGAGAGAGGCGGAGGAGAGCCTGGTGAGGCATCGTACTGTTCGGTGTTGGCAGCCTGCTCAAGCGTCAGCACCATCTGAATGGCCTCCTGCTTCAGCTGGTTCAGGTGAGTGGCACAGACGTCGCATCTGTTGTCCCTCTCATTCCAGGCCTTCCGAATGGTGTTGGGAACCTGCAGTTTGTCGTGAATTGCGGAAGAGAAAGCTGGGTCCTGCAAGCCAAGCAGAGAAGAAGGGAGGAGGGGAAATTGTTTAACCAGAATCATTGCAGTGAAACATTTCCGAGGAGGACTGTGCATTTCAAAAGACAATTCTGGATATAAGTTTAGAAAGCAAATAAAGGCCATTTGATACAGTGAACATCCGCCAGCTGCAAAGTTAAATGAAAATTAGGAACCAGAGTGTGTGCGGGAGAAACCTTCCCTTTTTAATTCAAATACAAAGAAATGTTAAATGTATTTAAATATTCTAATCCCATCACAAGCCTCAGTGCATGGCAGAGAGAATAAATTAACTTGCTCTACCCTACTGCTGCCTTGAATTAAATCTGTTCTCAGTTACACAGGTGACAAAAAGCATAACCCACTGAGATCAAAGTGCCTATCTATACAGCCCTCCATGGATACAAAATTTGTATCTGCATCTATATTCACAAAAAATGAGCTGCAGATATCTGCATTCATATCCAAAGATATGGAAAGCCACCGATATGTGCAAATTTACAGGGTTCTAGATACAAAATTTGTATCCACATCCATATCAGCAAAAATGAGCCGTAGCTAGCCACATCCACTGAGGTGAGTACCTGCAGGTATAAAGCAGATAGCCATGAATTTGCAAGGTTCTATCTACCTAGAGGTCAGTATTTGGCCTTTGATGGCAAGAAGAGTTGAGTGAAAAATCAGGGAAAGAATGTCACAGGGTTTTTTTTAAACACAACTCAAGGGATGCAAGCCAAGCAGGCTAGTATGCATATACTGGGAAAGGAGGAGTGGATAAAGGCATGGAGGGAGGGGTTCATAAGTCAGAGGGTCATATTAATTACGATCTGTCTTTATTATATACTCAAGCATTTTACTTTCTCTGTTTAACTACCGTGAAGAGCGCCTCAGCATGCAGTGATTAATTGATTCATAAATCATGGTGCCTTCTTATGCACAGCAGCAAAAAGAGCAGTTCTAGGAACAGAAGCCCAGGAGAGCCATATGAACTGATGGGGAAACAGCAGGGGGCTGAGATTTGATCAAGCCTTAGGCTGGTCACTTCTATTAGGTGCACAAGGGGGTCAGAGCATCAAAGTGTGTCAGAAGACAAGAGCTGTGTTGTACAGCAGCTCTCCGCTTGTCACACTGCCATGAAGAATTAGGGGGGGAAAGGGGAAACACGGTTGTCAAATTGTATTTTCCATCCCACCAAACATCCTCAGAAAGAACATAGCTATGTTTGCCGATCACATAAAACTAGCTTCACATTCATTTACATCCAAGTAATGCAGAAAAGGAATCTGTATTTTCACCACAGGGCTTGAGAAAAGCGGTCTATGTAGCAAAATGTAGATTACTAACTTATTTTTAATTTGCTTTCTATGTGTCAGAGATACACCGTAGCAGTTCTACCTTCCTCTATCTAGCAAGTGCCACAGAGCTGGCTATTGTCCTTTGAAAGTTAACTGACCCTTAAGCAGTCTGGCTGGAACTCAGACTAATTACACAAAGTGCTCAGATCTAGCAGCAATACAGCATAGAAATTCCTGGACACAATAATAAGTATTCCAAGGAAATAAAGCTGTTTCTAAAATAAGCATGTGTCAGAAAGTTATAATATTCATGTAGTGCTGTGGCTTTCAGAGATACTGAGCAATGACTTCAGTTTTAATTCAGTGTTAAAAACAAACATTAGATCATTCCAATATAACAGACAGAGTGAGGAAGGAAGCTTTCTCCTCTTCCTGAGGAGGAAATAGGAAGACAGGCTGAACTTTGGATTTTTGATCCATAAATATGGACTAGCTCTTCTGATAAGAATCCACTGGATGGTTCTGCATTGACTCCAGGACATACAGTATGAAAACCTAATATAACTAAAATAATCAAAAGAAATACAGGTGCCAGAAAAACATGTTGCTAGAGAAACTAAGGCCAGGTCTTCACTAAAAGGAAAGGTTGAATCAAGACAGGCAAATCCAACTATGTTAATTACGTAGCTAGAGTCGACATACCTTGTTTTGAGTTTCCCCGCCATCCTCGCAACGGGAGGTGGCTTCCCTAATACCACGCAGAAGCAGGAGTACTCTCAATTTGATTTGCAAGTCTTAATTAGACTTACTAAATTGAACTCTGGAAGATCAATTGTGGCATCGTTGATCCTCTGTTTAGTGAGGACGAGGCCCAATACTCCACACATTAGTCAGATTTACCTGATATTCACACCAGATTTTTGTACTCGTACATTGGGCACATACGAAAAACGTGTGCCACTGTGTGTATCTAACTGTCCCTAATTATAATACTTCTGTGGTTATTCCTTAAGTTCAGCCAATGATGGACTGAAAGTGTCAAGTTTTAATCTCGTATCAATCTCTACTGAAGACCACCCTATTCTCCAGTGGGCCTAGTGTCTTTTATATGGTTGTGTTTTTTGACACTGATGTACAGAAGATCCTATTAGCCTGTCAGAAAGTGCAATGAAGAGGAATTAGTGGACAGCTGGATGGTGGAGGCCATCTCTTGCTCGAAGTCACTCACAAAGTCCCACACAGAGCTTCTATTTCTAAAAAGGTACAGGCAGGAATGGCTACTGCCTGCTGGTAGGTGATCAATCATACAAGGCGATGGACAAGGGAGAGGAGACCAAAGATCAAGGGATACACTACTCTGCCCTGGAAGAAGTGTGGTTTCCAGACTCTCTCCTCCCAGCAGGGGATTAGAGAACTAATTAAGAAACACTGGTGGGAAGGGAGGCCTTTTCCCAGATGAAAAACACATGGTTTTCACCATTGTATAAATACACTCCCAGCACTCTCCCACTAGCCAAATAGCTGGTCTCTGTTTAAGAAGTAAAAACTCCTCCACTTGCTTTTCTCGTGTGGAAGTAAATGTGTGTTTTTCCTGCAACTAAACAGTACCTTCAAATTCACTTTCCCAACACATCTGGGATACCTTTCAAATGACTTTGCACCCTAAGCTGAACACATGCTACCTCCTAAAACTGAATGGTCTGAGATTTCAGCGGTCTATTGCCTGACTATTGGAAAAACAGCTGCTCACAACTGCTGGAATGGCCCTTCTTCTGTTGAAACCACAGGGATTCACAAATAAACTGAAGTCAATGGGAGGTGTGCATGAATACAGACCGCAGACTTTAACCCGGTGACTAGAAATTAGTAGCATTTCACTGCCACACTGAGCAACGGGCCGCTGTATAGGTCAGTTAACTGTTGTTTGAAAAACTGAAGGAGAAGGATTTGTCCACACTCTCACCAGCAATGAGGGAGATGGGCAAATAAAAACAAAGTTAGGAGGAGGCGGGTGGAACAACACACAAGTGACCTTCCCCATTCTTGGTGCATCTGTACTTCCTCCTTCCCCCACACAATCAACCAGACCTCCTCCTCTTTCCTGCACAAAGCCAACGTCATTTTCTCCCCTTCTCTTATCCCTCTGAAGGAACTGTTCCCCCTCCCTTAGGTATCACCTTTATCCCTTCCCCCATTAACATTTTCCCTTCCTCCAGCCTTTCCCTGGGCCTCCTCCATAAGGAAAAAGAGAGACCGAGGTGATGGAAAGAGAGCAAAGACCCAGGACTCCTTGGTAGAGGAGCCAAAAGTAAAGGATTTTAGAAGAGAAAAGGGGGCTTTTACAACATGCTGGTTTCCGTGAGACTCTACACCACCTTCCAAAAGGACTGATGTCTCTCTGACCCCATCCTGTAGCACAACCTCAGTTCTCTGCTCTTCTGATTTCTCCACAGGTCGTTGCGAGAAGATGGGACACTGGGCTAGATGGATCTTTGTTCTGACCCAGTATGGCCATGCTCATGCTCTCTACAGTGGCTCACCACCAACTCTACTCCTGTCCCTCCACCCTCTTGTGGTCTGAACTCTGACCTCTGCTTCGCACCGGAAGCTCCATCCTCCTGCTTCAGGAAGTCAATGGCAGTTACATCTATGTTGGGAACATTTAAGGCTCAAAAAGCAAACTGAAAATCGAAATGATGTGGGGGCCTCAGAACTTATTCTGCGCTGCAAAATGTAAATTTAAACAAAGTCACATTGCACATCCGAATAGTTTCCTGGGCCATTTTCCAAAGATGACATCTACTAGTGATATCTAGACGACATATGTATTTTCATACAGATAGTCTAAGCTGTGTCTTACTCATGGGTATCCTTCAAAGGCTTGTGGCCAAAAAGCCACTCTGCCCCCCAAAGTGTGCTCCAGTGGGCTGAGTAGTCAGACTTAGGATCTGCAAATTACCAACCAAATTCCATTTAGCAGCTTTCAGAACCAAACTAAAAGCAGGGGGAAGGCGGAAAACAGAATAAAGGGTTATAAAAGGAGAACAGGGAGGAGGAAAAAAGAAGGGGGAGAAGGATAATTGTCTTGTGGGCTGGCTTGTGGTTCTGAGGATGGCTCAGCAGTAACACAGCTGTACATCTGG